CAGAGCAGTCAGCATCCCATAGCAGAAGATGAGGAGCTATGCCTCACATCAGCCCTATTTTTTGCCTGCATTCCCACTTGAATTCCTTGGATTTCTCTGTGTGAAGCCCTCCAACGTTTCCCTTTTCTTTTATGGCGAGTCTACTTCTGTTGTAAAGGTCAAACACAACCACCTCCAGCAAGCAAAGATGTCCCCAAAAAACACGAGAGGAGTTGATCCCAGCTGGATGACTTCTCTGACGACTTCCCAGTGCCTTTCCCCACAGCCACGTGGTTTCATTGTGAACCACGTCAGGACAATCTGCACCCACCTAATGCTGTTTTTATTGGCTCTGCTGGTCTTGTGGAGTTCGTTGTATGTTTCCAGAGATGTGTGTGTGTAAGACCTCAAGTGTGTTGTGTCTGTAGTGCTTAAAGGGGGATTTAGAACCCGATCCCCTCCACCTTGAGGGACATGGTCAGTGGGCACGGTGGGGGTGGGTTGGGGTTGGACTTGGGATCTTAGTGCTCTTTTCCAACCTTAATGATTCCTTGTTTCTATGGTTTTGACTGGTGGATTTTCTGTGCTTCCAAAACAGCATGTCTGCCCAGACGCTCGGGCTGTTCCTGGTGATTGGGGTAGACTTGAACCTTAGTGACAGAAAGGGATAAAAGAGATGTGAATGATTTCATTTTCGTTTTCAGGAGTGAACATGACATCTTATACTCTTCTCCTCCGAGAAAAATGCAAATAAAAATGAAACTGGAGCCAAGTGAAACCAGTTTGAGAGAGAAAGCCAAAGGGAAAGCACACGGAATTTCTGTGCTCTTCATGCTTGGAGCTGGTGGTTGTTGCTTTCTGGGGAATTTTGAGGTTTTTGATTAAATTGTGTGGAACCGTCAAGCCTATTTGAGTGTTTCCCACTCTCAGTCATAGCAAGAATAGAACATAGCCATGTCTGGGCTGTGCTGTAGTGCTCCCTGCACTGAGCAATAGCAATATACATCACTGAATTATTGTTACATGTGCCCGTACAGCATCAGAGCCCATACAACACGAGGTAGCACCTGGAGCACTCATCCTGCCAATCCATGTGTTAAAGTGCTTCCCAGGCTTTTGTGGGGTTGGGCAAGTTGATGCATCCCATAATCATGGCCTCCAAGAATCTCAGTTTCCCTCCTTCTCAATGGAGGATTACCGTGGGATTTTCAAGTGAAGGTGGGAGAGAGGAAAGGAAAAAGGTGTCCTTCCAGCCCATAGAGCCAACTCTGCACATTCTCCATTTGCAGCTTGATCCAAAGCTCTTCTTTGAGGGGTGCCACAAATAAGTAGGATCTGATGTCCCTGTGGGGGTGGAAGATCGCACAAAGTCCATTTTGGCAACAAATCTCAATGCCTTGCAATGGCATTTGCTGACTAACTGCAGTCAGTTCCACCCAACCGGGTGAATTTCACAAGTGCTATTGGAGATGGAGCTCCTTACCTCTCTGTATTTCCAGCAATTGCTTAAGCAAATCTGCATGCAACCACCAGGAGAATATAACCCTGTGCTGTCCTCTGGCTTTGGACACTCCAGACAAGCCAGAGTGGCTCTCAGTGGACGGGTGTAGCTCAAGGGGTACGAGCAGATCTGATGGGACAGAGCAACTGTGTGTTAGACCACAGCTGTGCACATGTCTGGAGTTATTTTCCCCAGCCTTGTGCCTTCCAGCCTCTCTCCTTGTGAGCAAGCGATGTAGTCAAACTTGTAGGAATCCTGTAGTTCTGAGCACGTAGGCTGGTAATCACTGAGACAGCTGAAGCCTTAGATTTGTTTGCATAGGCTCCTACAGCAGAGCAAACATTTGTCAGATCTAAATTCTGTTGAAAGGTATCTCATTTTGTTAATTACACAAAAAAAAAAGAAAAAGTCATGGGAGAAACAATAGCACAAATTCTACCATCCGATTTCCAATACCCTGACTGCCTTCCCTTGCACTTCCGTGGTTGCTCCGTAGCTCTGGATGTCTCTTAGTTTCCACACCGACTGATGCCCAAATTCCCAGTCCTGCTGGACCCAGTGGAAGTTCTGAGTTAAACTGCCATGGAAAATAGTTCTTCAGCATTAAATGAACAGGCAGCAGGTAGGAAAACGGTGTGCTCTGGGATATTTTCTTGTAGCTGCAGAAATCCAGTTTGCCTTTCCATGGCCCAGAAAACCTCTGGGAACCTCTGGGATGCAGCAGGAACATCTGTGGTGGAGCATGGAAGTGAGGAAGGCTACGTGGCTGTTTTTTTCTACAGAGCAAAGGGGTGACCGCCTGTCGGTTTTCCCTTGGGCCTCGTGTTGGGTTTTTAGGAGTTCATCTGCTTGGGAAGAGGCTGATGCCGTCATCTCTGGGAAGACTGAAGAGATTTCTTTTCACCCAGACAGTTCAGCGAAACATTTGGGTGAGACAAACAGGGGAAATCAGTCTTCTACCACGACTGATCTGTTCCTAATGCAACACTTCAGAATGAACACTGCCCAGGTGTGTAGGTGCCTCGGCTTGGCTTCTTGATCTTCAGGACTAACATCTCTCATCCATCCCATCCATGGACCCCAAAAGCCTTCAAGCCATGAACCCCTGCCCCAACCAACAGCTGCAGGTCATCCCCATTCTCGTGTCCATCATGTGCCTTTCTCCAAGCTCTCATCCCACTCCTTCCCAAGATCTCATCCGTGGAAACTCTTCCACCATGGTCATCCCCGTCCACCAGGCTTTGCAATGCTCTGCAGACATAAAAGTTTGAGTTCTGGGCCCTTTCCTCCCTCCTTTGGCTTTTCATTCTGCAACAGAGAGTCTTATTTCTTCTTGGCTTTTCTTCCTTGCTGGGGTGTTGGGAAGATAATAGCACAGAACGAGTCTTTGCCGGAACGCTGGATTGTTGTCTCAACCCGAGGCTGCTGCCAAGTCACGGACACTGCTTCTTGTTTGCCATTCTCCTTCCTTCGCCTTTTATTTCTTGCATTTTTTTTTCCCCTGACTCGTTTAACTCTGGTGTTTTCCATCCTGTGGTCAGGGACTGCAGAGATTTGGTTTGTGTTCGTGTTTGCTCTGCCCCAGCGGTGTGAATTTTGTCTTTCAGCTGTCCTTGTTGCCTTTGCTCTCCCTGTCTCATTGTTAAAGCCCCAAACTGAATAGCCTTTCCCCTTCCGCATGGACTTGAGCGTGGATTTCTTTTCCCATCTCTGCAACCGTTACCATTTTGGTGCAATATTTGTAATCTAAATACGTGTGACCAAACACCCAAAGCTGAAAGTGCACCCAAATGGTTAACTGCTATGCTGAAGACAAGAGAAGAGCAAAACCACAATGAGGGAACGCTGAATTGCATCAGCAGTACTCCTGCACGTTGGAGCATGTGAGGGCTTAGTGCTCGATCAGAGGTACTGCTAGCTCTTATTTTGACATTCCCTTCTTAATAAGCGTTGCTCTTTATGCATTTTACAAAGCGGTTTGTATGATTGCGTCGCTGAGAGGAAACAAAGAAATGCCAGGAAAACTTTATGTGGAGGATCTGTACTCATAAAACGCTCACAGGCTCCAGCAAACAGGAAAGCTTTCCCCATCTCCTTTTTTTTTTTTTTTTCCTTCTTTTTTTTTCTGTTTTGTTTTCATTCCCTGCCATTCAGTGAAGAAAACAGGTTGAATATCTCTGAAAACCGGATTTGATGGTTTGTGGCTGAACACAGATTCCTTCCCCTGCCATTGAGAATCTGCGTGTTCATCGTGCTGCAGCCAAGCACCAGCACTGAGCTTTGTGCTGGGAGCCAGTTGGCTTCCCAGTGTGGGACTGGAGCTCCTGTGGCTGCCTTAGAGCTCAGCGGAGGGGCAGCTCAGCTGACAGCTGGCTCTGGGGCTGGCTGAGCCACTGGTAGAGTTGTGGTCGGCCCCTCCCTGCACACTCAGGGAAGTTAATTAAATTACTATGGAAATTAAATGGCCCAAAGCTTCATCCTTTGGGTGACAAAAGCCCTTTGCTCTTCCTCCACTGTTCTGCTTACATGTGTATGTATTGCAAGCCATGATAATGTTGTCTTGATAGCCCATGTAGAAACGTGTGATGTCCAAGCTCAGTGGGAGAGTTCAAGATGCTCTAGCCACATCTGCTGGCCGGAATTTTCTCTCACTCCAGCTTTCTGGAGGAGGAACAAGAGGAAAGTTCCCTCTTTCTAAGCCCTCTTTCTGCAGCAGTGGCTGTATCTGAGAGCCCTAATCAAGCTGGGTAGATCACTGGAGATGGTTGGATGTAGAAGCCGAAGATAGGATGCAAAAGCAAAGGGGCTGCCCAAGTGTTTCTTCCATTAGGCTATTGGGTTTTATGGGAAGCTGCAGTCTTGGCAACAAGAAGCTTGTTGGGCCCTTGTCTCTCCAGCGAATCACTGGAGAACTCCTGACGTTGCTTCCCTATGTGATGTCCCACTGCTGGGCTGGGGCTGGCCAACTCTTCCCTGGCAGAGTGTGGAAGCAAGAAGTATCTCACACAGAGACATAGGAGAGATATTCCTAGAAACCAAAACCGTGTTACCATAGAATCCTAGAACCACAAAATGGTTAGGTGGAAGGGACCTTGAAGAATCACAGAACCAAAAAATCATTGAGTGGTTGGGTTGGAAGGGATTTCAGTGGTGACAGAACTGAAGAACCATGGAATGGTTGGGTTGGGGGGACCTTAAAGATCATGGAACCGTAAAATGATGGAGTTGGAAGGGAATCTAGTGATCATAGAACCAAAGAACTATGGAATATTTGGGTTGCAAGGGACCTTAAAGCCCCACCCCTGCAGTGGTGTGGGTGCTCTCCAACCAGCTTAGGCTGCCCAGGGCTCTATCCATGGCCGTGGACACCTCCGGGGATGGAGATATGGCATGAATTCAGCCATTTTATGGATAAATATGGTTTCTAGTACCCTGCTCAGAAAAGATGTCCCTCATTCTTGTTGCTTTTGTACCAGTCCACACATAAAGAGTGTACTAACGTCTTCCTTTGACTTTTCAGGCGACAACAGAGACTTCCTGGTGGGAACAAGTCCCAGCAGCACGCAGACCATCAGCAAGGTGGTACCAAACACAACAGAGATCACCAGAAGCTCTACCAAGGAGGTCAGGCCCCTCACTCCTCTGGTAGACCAGGCCACCACGGCTACAGCCAGAACCGGCGATGGCACCACAACCAGAAGCACTCGCCCAATGACAAAGAGACGCACAGGAGCACCAAAGAGACTGAGAATCTGAAAATCGAGGACACCTCCACTGGCACAGGGCACAGCCCCGTGGAGGCGCAGCGCAGTCCGGAGGCGGTGGAGAAGCACTCCCAGCCGTACAGCCCAGAGGTGGAGACCAAGAGGAAGGACAGCATTCACGAGCGCGTTGGGGAAAGGCCCAAGATCAACTTGCTTCAGTCTTCCAAAGACAGGCTGCGGAGGAGACTAAAAGAAAAGGTATTATTTCTTAGGGGAACTTTGGCTTTCCCCTTCTCCATGAGCCTGGTGGTTGGCCGTGCTCCATGCAGAGGTGGGCTGGGCTCGGGAGACCTTTCCACGAGCACACACAACTTCTCTTGATCTCCTGGTGTCACTGCTTGTCTTGAAGTCTCTTTGTGCTTCTTTGGGAGGCCCTTTATTGACACAGCGTTAAGGCTCACTCAGTGAGGTTGCTCCTAAGGGGAGTTTTCCAAGATCAGGAACTCTTCCATCGCTTGCAAGGATGGGGCACTTCAAGATACCACGTGGGCTCTCCCTCCTCAGCGGTGATCTCAGCAGACTGCCTCCAGTCTGCAGGGCTCATCCGCTCCCAAAGAGGTCTAAAAACAGCGATTTGTGTCTGGAATTAAAGAACTAGAGCCTAATACTGTGCTTTGCTGAATGTTTGGAGTCAGGTACTCTCAAGTTGATATCCATTTATCTCAGTAATGAATTGAAACTCCCTTATCTTTCCCCCTTCCTTCCAACAACCCAACAATAACAAAACCATTGCTTGCAAATGACGGAGGAGAAATCCTTTCTGGAAACAATATTCAGACTCAGATTTCTGAGGAATTTGGAGATGATATCTCCATTTGCCCCCTGTGCAACTCAAATTCCTTCTCTTGAGATTCTCTTTTCAGACTGGAAAGTGCATTCATGGGGGTAACTCCAAAGAGATTTTCAAAATGTGCAGCAAAAATAACCTGAGCATATACAGTTCCATGGGAGTGCATGTTGGGAATGTACACCTTTGAGTGTATGTGCATTTACTATTTATGTATGTGGCATAAGGGGGAGGAAGAGATTTTGTCCATTATTTTTATGTTATTTAAAGCAACGGGAGTAGAGCAGAGACTTTCGGAGTATTCACTTCAGTGCCTGTCTTGTGGATTTAGAATCCTGTAAGAAAGACTTCCTTTAGGCACCCACTTCTGTGTGTGTGCAGTCAACACAACTGCTTTGTCAGTTGGTGCTGGGGTTGTCCAAAAAATGGCTCCAGATTTACTCTGTGCAATATATGTTAAGATTGAACTACAGGAGGAGAAGGGAGCAGACCAGAGCAGGCTGGATACATGGGGAGGGATGGACAAATGCTTGAATAAGTGTTCAGAAGAAGGCAGAATGCCAGTCTGAGCTGGGCATTCCAGTTTGGAGCCTTGAGCACATCTCCCTGAGCTGATGAGGAAGAATCTGGGATTGAGTACTGGGCTAAATGAGGAAACCAAGCATTTATGGGTGGGGGCTCATACACTGCTTGCTTTCAGTGCTGAGGTGGGGATGCTCTGATTTTGTTGGGTCTGTCTGTATGTCTTCCCAACCCCTTTCCCCCTTTGCACTTTGTGGAAGGACAAGGGCTGACCTATCTGTTTTCTCCTTGTGTAACAGACGCCTTGTCTTTCCCTTTTCACGGACCAGGACGAAGTCACAGTGGAAACCACCCACCCTGAAAAGAACAAAATGGACAAATTAATTGAAATCCTTAACAGCATGCGTAACAACAGCAGTGACGTTGACTCCAAGCTGACCACCTTCATGGAGGAGGCTCAGAACTCCACCAACTCTGAGGAAATGCTTGGGGAGATAGTTAAAACCATCTACCAGAAAGCAGTGACAGACCGCAGCTTTGCTTCCACGGCTGCCAAGCTCTGTGACAAAATGGCCCTCTTCATGGTGGAAGGAACCAAGTTCCGGAGTCTGCTCCTCAACATGCTGCAGGTAAAGAGAAGGAGTGATCTAGTTAGGTGCTTGCAGCTTCACCCCACTTGGTCCTGCTGTGCTTTTGGGCAGGAGCTGGGCTTTCACCAAATTCCTTTCCAGCCCACGTGATGGCAAGTGTTCCTCCAGTTTTGTTGGTGACAATCCTTAATGGCTAGCTGTCATCTTCTGCCATCTCCACTGCCTTCTAGGTCTATGGGCAGCAGCACCCACGTCAGCAGTGCTCAGTGGGGATGTTTGGTTGTGCTTGGGTGTTTTTTTTTCTTCTTTTTATTTTTTTGGAGATTAAAACTTGGTCTAGAAACGCATTTATTTTTGGCAACAGATTTCCACGTGGAAATGAGAGGAAAGCTGATAAGGCTCTATTGTCTGTCAGGTTCAGGGCTCTGCTGCACTAGCAATCAGTCCTTTACCATGGCCAGGTCTTCCATCTCCCTCTGCCATCGTTTCCCTCTTGTTTGTAGTAGTTCTGGATCCTCCAGCCAGGGTGCTCTGCTGCTTTCTTCAGGTACCTTTGACACATGCGTCGCAAAAGGCAACTTGTATTTCTTCTTGTATCTCCCAATGTTTTTCTCTGAGCCCCTTGCTTTTGAGGCTTTGGCTGCTGGAAGGGCTGAGAATGAGGAGGGTGGGAGTGAAGTTGAGGGGATCCACGTAAGGGTGGACATGGGTACCAGAGCACACCATGGAGGGCAGGATGGCTCCTTCCCCACCCAGAACCCACAGTGTCATTGGAAAGGGATCTCCATGGCCAACATGGCTTGTATTTCCTAAGAGTGAAGTGAAGGAGGACTTCTTAAGTTCAATTCTATGGCTGAGCAGCAAGTAACCAATATATTTGTCATTTTTTAAACATTAAGGGGTTTTAATGTTTGGTTATTAGGTCTTTTAGGCTAGGTCATTATCTGGTCTTGTGTCATGGTGATGCTTATCAACAAGGGAAACAGACAGAGAAGGAACAATAATGGAAACCCCTTCCAGCAGACCCAGCGAGCTGATGTGTGTTGCAGCACTGTGTGCAGTAATGAGTGGATTCACATCCAGCTCATTGTGGCACGAGAGCAGGATAAATAATAGATCTCATTTCTCCAGAGAGTCCCTGAGTGCTTCCCAGGGGCACAGAACTCAGCTCGCCGTGCACAGGGTGCAGGGAGGGAGCACAGTGCCTGCTTTGAAGAGCTGCAGAGAAATCAAACAGAAATGAGAAAAGCACTTTGTTTTGGTAGTGAAGCATCGTGACATTCTGCAAACAGTTGGCTCTTTTCTTTTTCCAAGCAGAAAAATCAGTGCACCCACACAGATTTGAGGCATCCTCTGGTCAGCCCCAAAACAGTCTTTCTGTGGCACATTCGGGTTTGGAGATGGAACCGTGTCCAGGGAACAGAAGCTGTGAAACTGAGGAGTTGACAGTGCTTAGAAAAACCCGCTATTGCCGAGCTCCAGCCGTGACCTCGCCACCATCGGACAGATGTTTTCCAACAGCTATTTCTAGATCATTTCCCATTAATTAAAAACCTCTAATAAAACATTTGCTCCGGGGCTGGATTTTTGTCTCTCCAGCACCTTTCAGACTAATCCAATCCCTGGACCTAAGGAGCTCACTGCACCAGGGTGTGATAAATCGGGATTGCGCTGCCGCTCTGAGCCACGCTCCCCCATATGGTGCTGGCAGATGCCTCTGTTTTGAAGGGCTGGGCAGGATGGACTTGTTTGTCCTTGTTTGTTAGGAGCAAAATGGCTGTGAATCTCCTCCCTGCTAACAGCTCCTCTGAAGAGCCCCTCCTGGCTGAGACAGGGCCAATGAATCTAGGGTGCCAGAGTCTAGTGGTGTCTGCCTTGATGTGAAACAAGAGGATGGATGTTGGGAATACCGTAGGTTACATTTTGTCCTCTCTGTGTGTTTTTGTACCAAATTCAAGCTTGCTGTTGAGTTTGGATGCTGGGAACCCACTGGGATGCTGTGGGGTGGGTGGCTGGGAAGCTTTGGGGAGATGCTGCTGACCCCAAGCTTGGCGCTGGGCCTGGTTTAGTTTGGAGTTTCCCCTCATTGGGTTTGCTTTGGATTTCTCCTCATTGCATTTGGCTTGGAATTCCTCTTCATTGGGTTCAGTTTGGAATTTCTCCTCGTTGAGTTTGGTGTGGGATTTCTCCTTGTTGGGTTCAGTTTGGGATTTCTCTTTGTCGAGTTCCATGTGGGATTTCTCCTCGTTGGGTTTGTTTTGTTACCAGGAGTGATCTGGGGCTGTGTGAGCCCTTGTGATGGACACAGCTGAACTGGGGACCTTGGGGGACAGTGGCATGGAAAATGTCTTGGTGGATAGATATGTGGTTTCTTTGCCCCTCTGTAGGTCCCTCTGTATTTAATAAATTGAAGGCTCCTGCGGGAGATTTTTGCTTGTCATAGCATCAGCCACTGGCTTCTGCTGGCCGTGGTGCTTTTCTCTTTGGTGGGGAGGTGTTGAGCAGTTTCCACAAACCCTCCACATGTAACATTAGTTGGAGTATTCCTCTGGTGAAATCTCCGTGCTCTTTATAGCTGAGATGTGTCTGCATCCGAGCTATGCAGAGCGGAGTATATTATTAGAGAGGACATCACTGGGGCTGTAATTTTACACTGCTCCCCTTAGCAACCCAGCCAACAACACATCAAACAGAAGGCTGATACTTAGGAGAAAAAAAAAAAACAACAACAAAAAAAATAGAAATGGAAGGTGCATCCCTGCACAGTGCCCAGCACAACCCATCACACGTGCGCTCAGCCTGGGATGAAGCCTCTGCGCTCGGAGATACCTCAGAGCCAGGGGCCAGAAGGGCTATTGCTGTTGCACACCTTTCTGCATGCCCAGTTGCATTCCCCATTGCATACCCTACTGCTTACCAAACTGTATGCCCTTCTGCATGCACTTCTGCATGCCCTTCTGCATGCTCTACCGCATACATGTTTACATACCCTTACATACCAGTTGCATACCCTAATGCATACCCAATTATAAACCCTCCTGCGTATCCTTGCAGGGATTCTTCTGTGCTCTTCAGCCTTGTGCTTGTTCAGACACAGAATTTGACCTGAGAGGTTCTGGTTGCTTAACCTCCTGACACTCCAGTAAGAGCTGTTCCACGGTTCGGGTTCTGTGCTTCTCTCTGGTTTCAAAACCTGAACTGAAATCCTGAGACTTTTGGCGTGACTCACACCGGTGTTTGTGTGAACTGTGCTGGACTGGGGATGTTCAAAGGGAGCACTTCTGGAGAGAGACAGCCAGGGAGGTGGCAAAGCCCGGTCTTGTCTTCTGTAAGACACGAGACTTTGCAGAAGAGTCAAATTGAGCTGGAATCCCTTTTGTGTGGGAATGTTGTGGCGTTAGTACTGGAGAATCAACCGACAGCTGATGGTTGGATTTATGATCTTGAAGGTCTTTTCCGACCTGAATTGTTCTTATTGATTCCCTTTGATAAATCAGAATGCAAAGGGCAGTGCTTGCTATGCTGAGCACGGGGATGTGGGAAGAGTGAGCTGGGCCATGGCAGGGCTCAGCCCCCCTGTAAGCTCAGGATGTGGTTTGGGGTCCCACCATCTCCCAGGAGAGCATCCCCCCCAGGCTGGGCATGGAGCTTCCCCGTGCTCCTGGTGCGTCAGGCATGGACGGATCCTGCAGCACTGAGCAGAGGCTCTGCTGGGCTCTAGGTGGAGACTGTGGACTGTGCAGCCTGCCCACAGCCTTCCTGCAAACCCAGCCAGATCCAGGCAACTGCTGCCTGCTGGGGAGCCCAGAGCTGCTCCCACTCACTGCTGGGGTGAGAATACTCAGGGCTGAGTGAGGTATCCCCACCCTGGGAAAAAAAAAAATGTAGAAAAAAGCTTGGAAATCCATCCAAACGGAAAGAAATTCAGGGATTCTCCCAACATTAAGAACTCGTTGCGCCAGGCTGGATGGAGTCTTAAAAGCTGCTCTCATCTCACTGGTTTTGTTGGGGAGAGGACTCATTTTCTCTTAAAAGGCTCAAATCCATCCTCAGGACATGAGATGAGGTTTGCCAGCCTGGGGACTCAGCCGAGTTAATGGAGCAGCCTGCCAGGCCATCTGCTTCCACTGCCCTGCATCAATCCAGGTCAAACTGCTGCAGGATTGGGAAATCCCTGCTCCCATGTTGGCTCCCTCCATCAATAACCGTGGGGGCACGGAAAATGTGTTTGAGTGTAAGAGGTGGATCCAAGCTGCTGGCAATGTCTCTGTGCCCCCAGGACTGAGGTGTTTGTTGTGAGCCCCTGACAAAGCATCACCAGACCTGGGGACCACCCTTCAGCACCCCAAAGTGGGGTGAAGTGAGGGATTTCCCAGGGCTGATTCCTGACCCATCAGCAGCAGCCTCAGGGAGCAAGCGTGCAGTGCGCTCAGGTGAGGAGCAAGATGCACTGCATTATTTTTTTAATAAAGAAGGATGGAAGGAGTGTATGGAAAGATGCTGTCTGGCACTGCTGGAAACCCAGCACTGGTATCACCTCTGGGCCGGGAGAACCACTAAGTGAAATTGGAGATAGAGAGCTTGCAGTGTGTGTAGGGTGTGGACGTGCTCACCTGTGTCATCTGGGTCCCACTGGACAATGTGTTGGCCAGCATCACCTGGGTCACACTAGAGGAGGATGTGTTGGCCAACATCACCTGGGTACCAGTGGAGAACATATCAGCTAATGTCATCCAGGTCCCACTGGAGGATGTGTCGGCCGGCGTCACCTGGGCCACACTGAAAAAGGATGTGTTGACCAGCATCATTTACTGGAGCAATTGGGAACAGATTAATTGATCTTTTTCATCCTTAAAAAGAAAAAAGAAAAAAAAAAAAAACAGCCAAGGAAAATATTTGCTATAACAGAAGTTCCCTGTTACAGATCCTTCGTAGGATCTATAAACATTAGCACACAAGGAAGACTTTCTGCAATCTTTTGTGTAAATAGAGCTGGATGGTGACATTCTTACTATGCTAGTACTTCACTTTGGGACCAT